AAGACTCTGTCTCAAAAAAAAAAAAAAAAAATTTATAATCTTCTACATTATTACAATCTCCTAGTAATATAACTGAGTTAGTTATATTAATTCATTATGAAGCAGTAAGAATTTAAAAATATATCAACTGAATCTTAAATATAAGTACTTACATGCAGTACACAAATATGCAACAGCTGTAAATCATTGGGAGTTCATCCAGTAGCTATAAGAAACAAAGAGAGATAACAGGCTTGAATATCATAGAGCTGCAATTATTATATAAGTCAAAATAAAACATCAGAATGATTAAGATTCTCAACTCTTATTTATTTTGCTAATTCTTTTATATTTATTGTCTAATTACTGTGAGTGTTTTTATTGTTTTTGAACAAACATCCATCTGTCCTAATGCACACATCTAACTAGGAAGCCTGACTCACTATTCCTGGAGGACAGCCTTGTAATTGTGCCGCTTGTATCCTGCAGTATCACAAACTATGATATCATACCTCCATGAAAGAATGATAGCCACCATTTACAGGTCTGTGGGTCCTATCAGTATTCTTTTGCATTTTCTCCTTCCTATAGCACCTTAAATGGATAAAATGTCCACTAATATACATAAAAAGAGGTATTAATGGCCACAGAAATAATTTCATTAATCCAATGAACCTATGTCTCTAAAAAATAAATTTATTATTATTAGCACTGATGATAACAGTAACAATAATTATAGCTATTATGTATTAAACTTCAAGGTGGACACTAAGCTAGGTGTTGTAGATAGGTTATTTCTAATCCTCAAACCAATCCTATAGAGTTTATCTATCACTAGACACACATTTAAGTAATTCTTTAATAAAATGTCTACCATGTGCCAAGCAATGTGTTAGCAGCTGAGGATACAAGACAGAGTCACTGCCCTCAAGGAGTTCACAATCTAATGAGGTTAAGGGAATGAAAAACATGATTAAATATAAAGTTAGGATACCAACAAAAAGGGCACACGGAAGCCAAAGAAGGGGATGTCAGGAATGAAATGCGGTGGTGGAGAAAGGCATTCCAGGAAGTTGACAGAGTGCTTATGCAAAGTGAATGATGTATTCTAGTAAATTATTAGAATACTGAAAACAACATTTGTGCTAGGTCTTAAGGTTAAGTGCTTTACAGTCACTAGCTCGTTTAATTTTCACAGTTCTAAGGTAGGTGTCATTATCATCCCCATTTCAAGATGAGAACACTAGGTTTACATAGTTTAAGTAACTTGTCCAAGATCATAGAGGTAGTAAGTAGCAGAGCAGGATTCCGAACTGACTCTGAAGCATACCTCTACATTATGTTGTCTCCAAAACCTTTCACTTGAATCATTTTCGTTTTTCAAAAAACTGGCACAGAATCATGATATGCTGCAGCTAAACCTACCACAAGTTTTATGATATGCAGAAGGTTAACCTATTTAAAGTATTTGAACCAGGGTCTACTGGCTTTACATTAAACATCTTTTGTATTTTTCTCTTTATTTCAGTTTTCATGTGTTAGCAAAATATTACTGTAGCCATTTGACATTTCCATGATTTACTGAGGTATCTAAAGGGCCCATTTTTGCAGACCTTCTACCCATATATTTAGAGCGTAGGACATAAAAAGATCTACTTTCTCTGTATTGCGTCATAGGCCTATTCATACAGTCTATGAAAGGCAGTTGAAATAATTGCTATCATTCCTTTATTTATTGATTTAACAAATATTTATGAAGCACTTACTATAAACCTGGCATTATGCTGTGCTGGAGACAAAATAGTCCTTGCTATCATGTTGCTTAACAATCTCAGAGCAGAGAGAGACGTTAAAGAGTTAATTGCCCAAGTAAGTATTTAATTATAATTATGATCAGTAGCATGAAAGATAAGTACAGAGTACTACAATCATAAAGTAAGGGTCCTAACTTAGGAATTCATGGAAACCTTCACTGAAGAAGTGACACAAAAAGTGAGACCTGAAAAATAGGCAGATCTGATTAAGCTAAAGAAGGACTAGGGGAAGATGAGAAACTTAAGTATCAGAAACAGCATGGGCAAAGGTACTGTGGTAGGAAGGGAATCTGAAAAACTGGAAAAAACCTCCAATGTCTTTGAAGCTTAATTAGTGAGAGAGAGGAAGGATATAAACTGAGGCTGAAGAGATAAGCACAAACAGATCAGGCAATATGTTTTAGGTTGAAAGGGATTCTTAATTTTATTTTAAAAGCAATAGTAAGCCATTGAAAAGGTTTAAACTGGGTGATGGTGGTGTATTTTAAAATGTAGGTTTTATTATTATGCAGGTATGCTGTAGCCAACAAATGAAGAGACAATTGCCATCGAAAAGACAGTTTATTACTCGCAGTTCCCAAGAGGAGGGAGTACACCATGCCATGACACGCAGGATCACACAGGGAAGTACCAGGGTCAGTCGACAGGCAGAAGGAGCAAGAGGAAAGCTTGGGTGAGAGCATTTATTGTGATTTCCATGGGAAAGGTAAGGCAAGGTAAGGAGGTTTAGGATTGGCTAGTTTGAATAATTTCAGCAGGCTCTGGGGTATAGGGACTGTCTCTAGTTGTCTAGTACCTGGCCCTGGGGTAATTAGGACAAAGGAATATTTGGAGTAAAGAGCCAGACAGAGAAAGTAAGGGCTCTGGATTAGTTAGTCTGAATATGAGTGGCACAGTCCAGGGTGAGTTCTTTGCTATCTCTCAGAATTGCCTAGTCACTAGAGGGGCAGTTTCTTCCCATTCAGCAAGGCCCCGGGTCCAGAGAATTAAGAATAAAGAAAATAAGAAAATATAGTTAATACATGGTATCAGATCAGGTATGTATGGAGAATGCTCTGAAAAGGAAAAGATGTGTGAGGACTCCAGACTAAGGAAGTTGCTGCTTAGATGAAGACAGCAGAAATGGGAATGGATATAAGTAAACAGGTTTGAGAAATATTCAGTAAGTAAAACAAATAGGGATTTGTGATCAATTTGATATAGAGGTGAAGGAGAAGAAATTGCAAAGGATAACGCTAGGTTTCTTGCCTAAGCCATTCAGTGGATGATAATATGGTTTATTGAGATTGTGAAAACAGAAAATTATAAGAACAATTTTCACCACTTTGAGTTTGAGGTACCTGTGAGATAACCACATGCAAATATCAATCAGGCAACTAGAAGTACAAATTTGTAGCTCAGAAGAAAGGTCTGAACTCTAGATGTTGACTGCTTGTTTGTTTGTTTAAAGAGGCTAAACTGAACTGAGTATACGTTAAAAGGGCAAGGATTTTAAAATATGGGTAATACAAATAAAAAGTCTTATTATGGAACCATAAATAAATTATGACTGGTAAAAGAGCAGGGTTCTAGGGTGAGGTGAGTATGTGAAGATGAGTCTGGAAAGGTAGGCAGGGGCCAGATCACAGAAGCTGTGGCTCAAATTTATGAGCCTGAACTATGCAAAATATTAAAGAGGTTTAAAAAGTTAACATCTATCTGAAGAGTGGGGACTATATTGTACACATCTCATTCCCAAAACATGTGCAAGGCCTAACCAACATTGCTTAAAAATGAAACCAATTAGTTTTGTTTGCAGGAAAAGAAGTTCTCCTCCAGTGTGACAAAGGGATGGGAGAGTCAGGGATACCAATTAGGAAGCAGTTATGGGAATATAAATTTGAGATGATGGATTAAGGTAGTGACAATGGAGATAGCTAGAGATGGATGGATTCAAGAGTTATTATGGAAGGTGAATCGAGAGATCTTAGTGTCTTAGAGGTGAGAAAGGAGAAATCAAAGATGAATCCCAGGTTTTTGGCTTGGGCTTTGAGTGTAAAGTGGTTCCATTCACTGAGATAGGGAGCAAAGGAAAAAGAAGGGTAGTATTTATAACCAAAACATCTATTATTTATATTACAAAGTTCAAATTAGCTTATATTATTAATATTACCTAACATTTAAGCTTCTTTTGTTTTTGCATTATAAACAAAGTTACAGGTGAACAAACATTTGTCTCTGGTTTTATTTTCTAGGATAAATGTATTATTTTTACTTATGAGTAATAGATGAGTATGTTCTTTTTACTAGCATTTTTTTCCTAATATCAAACATATGCTCAGTAAACAATACTTGGAAAAAGCTGAAAAACACAAAGAAAAAAGCCAAGGAATTGACTTTAATTTCACCTTCCCCAGGATTACCAACAACTGTATATAATCAGTGACTGAGAGCAAAAAAAGAATGAGTCGAATGAATGAAAATAAAATCCAGGAGAGGTCTCCTAGAAACTTAAACCTTTTAAACTTCTACCACCTTCAATGCATGATGAAGTCCTAACGTCGGTAAAGGAAACAAAAGAATACTAAACATGGTATCAGAATTTGGGTCCTAATCTTGTCTCTAGCTTTTTACATAACTTCTAGTCAAGTCACTTCCATTCTCTAGGCCTATTTTTCCATTTATAAAATTTGTGGATTGGACTGAGTTTCAAAAATATCCTCTAATATTAAAATTCTATGATTCTAAATTGTTTTTTGAATGAAAAGTGAAACTGTTAGGGAAATGTAATGATACTCTCTTGTGCCATTGAGTGGTTACTTGAAATTTTCTTTAGTTTCTTTAGCAATATTTAGTTACCGAGTTCAAGCACAAGATAGGCAGATAATTGAGTTTAATCTGGGTTTTTGCTCAGAAAGGGACAAGGGCTTTAAGGATATTTGTATGGGAGGGTGGGAGATATTATAATGTTGGGCAATAGATTCTAAACTTTGTTAAAAAAAAAAAAAGGAAGAAAAGATGTGAGGCAAAATATACCTCCTTTCTGTAGTTTTTATATTGCTTATAAAATTGGGATCATATTACATAATAATTTGTCATTATAACCGTCCTCCATCTCAACAATTCAAAATATTTCTAATTGGCTACAGTGTATTTCGACACAGATGTATCATACTATATTTCACAATCTCCCTATTGTTAAACATCTAGATCATTTGGAAATCTTTATCATGTGAAATACTGTGATAAACACCCTTGTAGAACATCTTTCCCTGTCTCTGATTACTTCCTTAGGATGCGGTCTTAGGAGTATAATTTCTGGTTTAAAGAATATACACATTTCTTTTCTATTTAAAAAAAAATAGTGGCCGGGTACGGTGGCTCACGCCTGTAATCCTAGCTCTCTGGGAGGCCGAGGCAGGCGGATTGTTTG